CCACATTTTACAAAAAAAGCAGACGGCACAGGGACTCCTGAGACCGGTGCAGGTGAGAGGCCCTAGCCAGGCCTGACCCGCGGGCAGCAGTGGAGATGCGGAGATGGGGTGGTGGTGAGGACCAGGCGCTGCCCTCGCGGCGATGCCAGGGTGAAAGGCGCAAGGAAGGAGCTGGCTGCAGCTCACAAAACCTCCGGAGAACAGACTGACCCCCACTGGTTACAAGCTGGGGGACACAGGGGCTCAGCCACCCCTCTCTGTCCCACCCTCCGTAGGGGGCGCTGGAGCAGACACAGAAGTTCAGGATCTCAGGGCCCAGTTTCTGGAGTTTTCTGTCCCTGCCTGGTGCAATATGGGGGCTCAGTGGAGGAGGCGGGAAGGGACGGGACAGGGTCAGGGCAGGTGGGACAGCCGTGAGCACGGGCCATTGCGCTCCGGAGGACCCACTGGCTGAGGACGCGGTACCCCCGGAGCTGGGACGGCAGGACAGTGGGTTCTCCCTGCAGCCCCACACCCCGATGCCGTCCCAGGACACTGAGAGATAAGTTGCTGCCTGAAGCCACTGAGCTTGCGGTAGTATGTCACAGCTGCCACCGACACTAACGTGGAACCCGAGAGAAACGAGTCCCAAGGTTCATCAGGGGACTCCAGCAAGCTTCATAAAGAGGGCCCCGGGGGCCAAGCCTCGGTCTCCCCAGGAGATGGGCGAACATCCTTTGCACACCACATTACAGAACCCACGGTGGACATCTTGGACACATGCAGTGGCTCCCACAGAGCTTATTTCCCCCTCGGGGTGCTGGGCTAAATCCCCAGCCGTTGTTTAATTTTTCAAGACAGGGTCTCATTAAGTTTCCTAGCCTCGCCTCAAACCTGTGATCCTCCTGCCACAGCCTCCCCGTGTGCTGAGATTAGCTGACTTTCAAGCAGCAGTGGCTGCTCCGTGGAAGCCACCTAATGTGGCATCTGATCCATAAACATTTTCTGAAGGAACCCGTGGGAGCCTTGTGGATCCCTTGTGGATCCGTGGATCCCATCTGGATCACAGTGTAGTGTCTCAGACACACAGCTCCTGCCTGGGTGACGGCCTCCTTGTCGAGCAGCTTCGCCAGCTTACAAACATCTGGTGGCCAATTTACAAACACTGTTCATTTCTGTTCCACCCTCAGGCCGGGAGCAGGAACAGGTGTTTTCATGTTCCTGCTGAAGAGTTGGAACTGTCCTTAATACTTCAATCTGACCCAACTCCAGCTTTATGAGTGACTCTGATTGGATGAATCTATTACTATGCCCCACCCCTCGTATAGTAATTGGCTAAGAGACGGAGGTGTGGTCCACAGAGGGCCAATCTGGACCAGGAGGCGTGGCTCTGGGCCTGGCTCTGACCCAATGAGGATAGAGATACAATCTCTGATGCTCCAGGAGCAGGTAGAGGCTACTATGGACTGTGCTGGGACCACAGGAGGACCGTGGTTTTTTCTGGCTGGGCAACTCCTGTGCTGTCTCCATCAGGGCACTGTCCTGGGAAGGAAGCAGCCACCAAGAGGCCAAGTGCCTGCTGTCCCCAGCCAGGGGCCTGTGCGTGAGCTTGGACATGGTCTCCTCCAGCCCAGCTGGGCCACACCCAGATTCCTGACTTACAGACAGCTGAAGTCACGATTAGCTCATGTCCTGCCCCTGAAAGGCTTGAATAAGGCCACTCTGTACCCTAGACCCACCTATGTCCTCTGCCACCTGCCCTCGGGACCCCTTCCCTCTTGCTGTCAGTTTCCTTCTGAGTCACAAATATACCTGCTCTGTCTCAGAGCCTTTGCACACACAGTTCTCAGGCCTGCAACACTGCCTTCTCCACCTTGGTCTCCTCCAGTCTGGGCAGGCCCACTCCTTCCATCCTGCACACTTCAGCTGTCCAGAGAGGCAGGGGCCAAGCCACAGAGGGCCACTCATGCAGAGCTGTGTGCCTGTCCTATCCTACACGTCTCTGGGGTTCCACCTAAGTCCCATCCTCCTGGGCTCCCCAGTCCTCAGGCAGCTCCTACTCATGCCTCAAAACCTTGCCAAGCCTAATCCGCTTCCCAGACTTCCTTCCTCCCCAGAGGACCCCGTCACAGCCAGAACCACTGGGCCTGTGTCCAGGAGATGGGTGAGAGGCCATCCATGTCCTCCCATCACCCGACCTGCTGCTGCCCTTTGCAAGCTGTGGGCTTTTGCATTTTTCCATTTTAAGCCTCCTGACTGCCCCCACAGTAATGGACAGCTGACCGGCAGGACAGTGATGGACTCGCTTTGAACACTTCCCGGCAGCGAGTACAGACTCTTTGTCCCTGTAGCACGGAGGAAGCAGCTCGGGGCATTTCGTGGCATTTAATGTAGAACCAGGTCTCCTGCTAAAGCAGCGGCATCAAATATTTACCAGAGTGGCATTAAAAATTAACCTCAGCGCGTGGGTGCCCAGAGCCTGAGGCCTCCTGGGGTCAGCAGGGTAGCGTGCTGGCCCCACACCCAGCTCCAGAGCAGCCTGAAGTCTGTGAGGCACCGCACCCGCCGGGGTCTGAGCCGCCTGGGTTCCACCCAGCCCGAGCCTGGCCTCGGAAGATGCACCATCTGCCCGTTCCACACCGGGGCTCCCCACCTCCCTGGCTCCCAGCCCCAGCACTCTGACTGCCCCTCCGTCTGCCACTGCCCTGGCCACATTTCGGTTTTTCCAACCCCTGGCCTGCAGGGCGGAACGAGGCTGACCAGGGGCGAACCCCAGCAGGTGGCTGTGCACACTCAGGTCCCCGGGTGGTGCATGCACCCCAACTGCACCCTCTCACTCTCCCCATCCCACCTGGCACCACAGCCAAGGAGCAGCCACCTCCCCTGGGCAGTGCTGTGTCCCCCGCCCCTCCTGTACCCCTCTGCCTCTCACTTCCTGCTCACCTGTGACTCGCCTGGCCCAGCCATTCAGAGTCTCTGCCCCCATCTCTGCCCTGGTGCCCCGCAGGCTCCCTGCCTTTGTGGCTGCGGTCAGCTCTGCCCGTGGCACTCGGGGCTCTGTCCAACCCCATGGGACACCATTCCTGTGACATCCTTAGACTAACAGACACGCTTTCCCATCTAGAAGCTCCGTTTCTAAGCACCCAGAGACCCACCATTGATTGACTAATGGCTCTCTGGAAGGCAGACCGTGCGCAATGTTCCGTAACAGGATTCATTGATCCCAGGCATGGCTGCGTGGGGACCCGAGAGTGACAAACATCACATAAGTGACAGTGATGGTGCAGGCAGAGCCTTGGCAGATTGACAGAGGCACCTGGGCCCCTGCCTGTTAGCAGGCACCAGGCTGAGTCCTCCCACGCTCTCCTGATCCCAGGCGTTTGTTACTGGAACTGTTGCGGTCAGAGAGTGGCCTCACAGGCTCGGAGAGGACCCCCAGCCACCCACGCAGAGACCCCACCAAATCTGCACCCCTGAGGTCACAGGACCCCAGGCCCTGGAGTGCAGGAGGTGATGAGAACAGAGGACACACACTGGGCTGTAGGTGGCTCTGAAGCCACACCCAGCTCCGTCCTGTGGACCCCAGTCCCTGAGCGGGCCGCCTCTGTCCCCCAGAACGGGGACAGATGGTGACTGAGGGGCAACAGGACAGTCTTCCGTGACTAGCCGGGAGCTCATCCCCACACAGACTGGTGAGAGACAGGGCACTCGTGAGGCCTCCCTCTGTCCCCCTCTCCTGCCCTCGGTGCCCACAGCAGATGCTCAGGTCCCTGCACTGATGTCACTGCAGCTGAGAGAGGAGCCTCAGCTCCCAAGGACACACAGCCAGGCAGCCCACACAGCCGGGCAGCCCAGAGCCGAAGTCACACAGGGTGTGGCGGAATCACTTCCACGGCCTCTGTGAAGCAGTCTGCGAAGCTCCCCCAGCACCCCAAGGAACCTCAGAGACCTCAGGGTGCCCGGGCTGTGCTGGGGGCATGGCAGGCGCAGGCACCCTCGTGGACCCTGGGCAACCTCAGCCTCCATGGCTGTCGGCAGTGGTGCCCACACTGGGACAAGCATCTATCCTGGGAAGCAAATATCTCAGCAGTCACATAGGGCAGAGCTTTCCTGGTGGGGACGGAGGGGGGACGGAAGGCTGCCACCACCCCAGCCTGAACTGAGGTCCACCAAGACGGGTGTCTTCGCCTGCCTGTGCCCTGCGGCCACGGCTGGGAGCCCTGGAACTCGGGTAGCTTATTGGGGATAGCCCACAGCCATCAGGCAGGCTTCGTTTCTGTCTTGATGGTGACCTTGCCTCTCTCTGGGTCACCCGAGCAGCCTCTCACGGGGTGACTATGAAGGAACCCCCGTCCCAGGGCACACAGCCACTCCCACCTTCCCAGGGCTCTCTGAGGAAATGTCTCTGTCAATCACCCGGGGGCGCTGATATCTTTGTTTAGGGTGGCCACAGCGCTGCGGGCATTTTAACTAAGGTTCCAGCTATCGAGCTGGGGTATCAGCACGGGCCTGGGCAGCCTTGGGTGCAAATCTTGGGCGTCAGTTGCAGGACCAGGCTGGTTTAATGCCAGCCACTGGGCAGGGCCTCGCCAGGGACAGGGCGGCTCCTGAGGGTCTGGTGTCCCTGCTCTTAAGTCTCCACTTTGACAGGGTGGGGATCCAGCTCCAAACTGTCACTCCTCCTGCACAGAGCTGACCTGGGTGAGGAAGAGGCTGGGCGGGGCAGCGTGCAGCGCCCACAGTGACCCCTCCCCTCCCCCGCCCCCCAAGCTACCTCCGAGCTGGGCCGAGCACATTGATTTTCCCAAGTGACCTAAGGGGAGGGTCAGGATGGGCTTTTTGTGAACTGCAGGACAGGGCTCCCTGGGGACAGGGCCTCTGCCTTCTCCGCCCTTTGCATCCAAGTGTATAATGCAGGGCAGGCCTCTGGCTGACCTTCCGTAAGCGCCTGTCGGGTAAATGAACAAACCGCGGGTGCCCAGCAGCGGTGTCCAAGGACAGCCACGCAGAGAAGAGGAGGAGGGACCGGCGAGGTGGCACAGGGAGGGCTTCCTGCCTTCGGGTCTCCCTGGCTTCCTGCGCCCTGGGAAGGTCCAGGAGCCTGCAGAGGGACATCCGAGACCCACTGGGCCTTTGCCCGGGTGCCTGTCTTGGGGTGACCCTGGCAACACTGGGGCCCTCTGTTCACAGACGTGTGATGGGGCAGGCGAGATCAGGCGAGGTAGTTAGCACCACCACGTGAACCCCAAGTCCCACGCCAGCGGCCTACACCGACCCACCCGTTCTCGGGGGCCCATGCCACCTGAACAAGACCAGGACGCAGAGCCGGGCTCACGGGGCTGCAGCACAGACACTGCCAGGTGCTCTGTCACAGATGCCAGGCTGGGAGAGGTGATGTTCTTGGGGTGGACGCGGTGGACATGGGGGCCAAGAGCGCCACAGAAGCAAGCGCCCCAAAGCAGGAGGCAGGGAGCTGGGACACTGATTACCCGCGCGCCTGCAGCCACGTCTTTCACCGTAAGTTTCTGTGACATCATTTTTAGGGGCAGCTGCGCTGCAGCACCAGGGTGCCCCAAGTCCTGGCAACCCTGTGCTCAGTGCCAGTGAGGAGAGTGAAGGAACAGACGGGGCTTCAGGCAAGGCGGGGTTTGGCTTGATTAAAATTCAGTGGTTTTAAGTAAACAGCGAGGGAGGAGGAGCAAAGACTAGAGAAGGGGCCAGGCCAGGACGGGACAGGGCCACCAAAGGCCGCTGCAGGGAAACGTCTGCCATTACCAGCTTTCTGGGGGGCACCGAGAAATAAAGGGGATGCTCAGAGGAGGAAACAGAGTTCATTAAAGATGGAAAGCAAAGGTACTGGGCACAGAGAAACGGGCACTGAGACGGGCCCTGAGGCTGAGCCCCCGGAGCCTGGCGCCCTATGAGGAGCTGGAGAAGTGTCGCCCGCTCAGGAAGGTGTTTGCTGTGACCGCTTCTCTTCCAGACTGTGGCTCTCTCCGGCCCCTGCTTCTGTTTGTCGTAGAAAAAGAAGAAAAGAAGTGGGCTGTCAAAATACCCTGCCGCGGGAGCTGCCACCGCTGCCACCGGCTGCCAGCACGCGCCCGGGCTGCTTAAATGACATTAGAGAGATTAAGCAAACACGCAGGATAATGGCCGAGCTAATGCTAATTGAATAAAATCGGAATGTGAAATTACGTGCGCGTTATTATTAGAGAGGAGAAGCAGGTTCCCCGGGAAGGTAGGAAAACGCACCACAGACTCGGTTCAGCGCGAGATTCTAGGTGGCTTCTGTCTCCCTCGCCATCCTTTACCCCTCCAGACAGCACTCGGCTCACTGCTCACGCAGGCTTCTACCACACCTCAGGCCCTGCGCTTAGCCTCACGGTCAGTCATTCTGCAAGCTGAGTCCACTTGCACCCACCCACTTTATAGATGGGAACACTGAGGCTCAGAGATGGGGAAGGGTTTGTCCCAAGGTCCCCATGAGCACACAGAGCAGGGGTCTGAACCCAAGACAGCAGCTCATTGCTCTGTGTCCCAGCAGGTTGGGAGTGAGAGCTCCTGGCACCTGCCTTTTGCAGGGTCCCCTGTGCCGGACAGTGCTGGCCGAGGGAGGAGGTACAGGTGGTGGCCAGGTGCATGGACCAGACCTCCTGGGGCTGGAAGGACCTTTGCTGCTGGTGTCAGGGACAGGACAGGATGGGGATCTCACAACTGAATAAACCCAACCAGGCCACACCAAATCAGTGCCTTTGACCCGCAGGGCAGCTGTGGGGGGTGGGGGTGGGGTGCCAGTGCTGAGTTTCAGGCTCCTGCCAGATCCCGGCCAGGGAGGCCTAGAACCCAGGCCTCATGTGCTGCTGGACACACTTAGGGTCCTGCCCCAGGGCCAGGGAGGCCATGGTCACTGTCTGCAGAGCACCTGGCACAGGCTTGGGCGGCAGCAAGATGGCATCCTGAGGAGCTGGGGGAGACCCCAGTGTGCTGATCCCCAAGGAACACAGCATTTAGAAGGCGCCGCCTTGAGGGCAGAGGAGTGGGTGGAGGGGGGTGGCCCTTAACCTCACCCTGGGGCCTCAGTCAGTTTTCCACTCCTGGCATCTGAGGCCCAAGGTTGAGCCTGGTTCAGGGTTTCAGAGGGTTCAGTCCATGGCTGACCCGAGGCAGGAACAGCATGGCAGACAGGCCTGGCAGAGGGCTGGGCACTGGGCTGCTCAGCTCCAGCAGCTGGGAAGCAGGGGGAGGTGAGGGACTAAGGCCATGCCCATGACCTATTCTCTGTACTCCACTTCTAGGGTTTTTTGTTTTTTGGGTATTTTGGTCCCGGGGATTGAACTCACGACCCCATGCTTACCAGGCAGGCGCTTACGCCCCTGAGCTAAACCCCCGAGGCTTCCCTGTCTGATCCCAACAGCAGCCAAGCCTTCACGCAGCAGAGCTTTCTGGGGGGCACGCTGGAACCCCCCCCCCCCCGCCGTGGGTTCACTGCCCCCTTGCACACAGGAGCCAGCACCGGCAGAAGCGGCAGGCTTTGCCCCAGGCTACACAGTAAGCCCCAGCCTGACTCCTCCTCCGAGGAGGGCCCAGGTTTCCCAGCCAGCTGGAAGTCCCAGGGGTTTGAACTCCGTCCCACGCCAGACCTTAACGGTCTCTGAATTCCGGTCTTGGAAGCCTCCGTGGTATTTGATGTCACACTGAGGAAACCGGACACCCAGCCGGCTCCCTCTCTGGTCTTCTAATTTTCGGGAATTTCTCTCTGCTGGCAGCCAGGAGAGGGTGACGGCAGCGTGGATGGAGGCTGAGGGAGTTCTGCCAAGGGCCAGGGGCCTTGCGGTGGACCAGGCAGTGCCCAGCCCAGCGGGCAGAGGCCTGAGGGCGTTGCAGGCTCCAGAGGAGCCCGCCCTGGAAGGAGCCACAACATGAATCAACCACTCCCTTCAGGGCCAAGTCAGGCGTCTCCCCAAGCTCTGAAAGACGGGGAGGGCTGGGGGCAGGGCAGCACCTCTCCTCCAGCTCAGCCCCGCTCTCCACCCGCACTGGGCCGGCCTGGGGCCTCTGAGCTCCAGCTAAGTGGTAAAGGATGAGGAGGAGTCCCCCTGCGTGGGACGAAAGACAAGCACAGTGGGAGAGGAACCCTGGACTCAGGGCAGGCAGGGGGCCAGGGACGGAGCTGAGGGCCAAGCCAGGTGGACAAAGAACAGCATCGGCACTGCAGTGACCAAGACCAGGGACCCTGCCCTGCCCCATGCAGATGGGGCTCGCCTGGTACCTGCTGGGTGAAGACTCGAAGCCATGCGGAAGACAGAAGCGGGTGGTGGGTAGGCCGGGGCAGGAGGGCGGTGACCCTCGCCTGCATCCCGGGACGGCTGAGGCTGCCCGCTGGGGAGGAGAAACTGGAGCCCCAAGTGTGCAGGGGACACCCAGCCAGGGAAGGCGGCTGACAGAGCCACACAGCCCAGGCACCGCCGTGCACCCGGGAGCTGTGTCACTGATTGCCAGCCACACCTGGGAAAGGAGCTGGGCCAGCGGGGAGCAGGGACCGGGCACCTGAGGAGCCGGCGCCCCGGGAATCTGCGTGAGAGCCGGCAGAGTCCAAGCTCACTTTCCCTAAGGGGGGAAAACTCCCAGCGTCCCTGTGACATTAAGTGAAGGCATCTGTGTCACCACTGTGTCCCTGGGCAGCTCCCTAACTCAGCTACAGCGACGTCTGACACCAGCAGGATGGGGGGACCCCGCAATGCACTGGACCCTTGGCAATGGGACCCCCCTCCCTGTCCCCAGGCAGGACGATGGCAAGCCCAGCTGGCAGGGCAGATGGAGGGGGTTCCTGGCCGGCCAGTGCTTCTGCTGCCCCCTGGTCACTCAGCTCCAGCACCCCAGCCGCCCCACAGCAGCCTGGTGTCAGCCTTGCCCCCCCCCCACGCCCGCCCTGCCCAGCGGTGACCTGGCCTCCTGCCTCAGTCTCCACTAGGGCGCTTCCTGCCCCACTACATTTTCCCTGCAGCCACCCGAGGAGTCAGGTGGCAAGCGGTGTCTGTCACCCTCCACCCCCCCGCGAGAATCAGGGGAGCTGGGGTCACCGCATAGCAGAGCCCAGGACAGGAGACGCGCAAGAGGGCTCCGGCTGAGGACTGCTGGACACGCAAGAAGGACACTTGGGGGCGGACGTGGCCGAGGCTTTTGAGGCAGCGTAAGAGCCTCGGGATGCCCTCTCCCGGGCACCTTGGGGCCTAGGGGGCAGGCAGACACAAGGCTCTTAAACGCAGGGGGCCCACGTTGCGCATGCGCGCACGCCCTGGAGGGGGCGCGGACCCGTGGGCGCGCTATTCCACGCATGCGTGCCGCACACCAGAAACAGGGTGGGGGGCAGCGCTGCCTTTCCAGCTGCAGACCCTGAGCTGTCCAGCACCTTGACTATGTGTGACGTCTTCCTGTGGTCCTGAAATCGTGGTCACCAGGACACCAGTGTGACACAGGCTCCAGGAAGTCTGCGGCCAGACACCCATATTCCAGGACACCCCCACCCCGCCCTCGGGACAGCCAGCGGATCCCTAAGGACACTGGGAGCCGGGTCCAGGACAGGCTCCTCTGTCAGACGGAGCCCCGCCGGGCCACCTTGGTCTCCTACATGATAAATGCAGCCATTACGCGATCAATAAGCAAGGCTGGGTTTAAGTGCGTCTTATTAATTATTCAAGCCATTCATTATTGAAAAGGTCACCACTTGAGAGATATTTAAATGAGCATTTACTGCCTCAGATGCACCTCCAGAAAGGACGCAGGGAAGGGTCACGGCGCCCCTGCCAGGAGCCCGGTGCAGCCGAGCCTCGGGACTGTCCGGGGAGGGGCGCCCTACCCTCGGCTCCTTCCGGAAGGTCACAGGAAGGGGTCACAGGAAGGGGTCACAGGAGCTGAGAATGACGGAGCTGGCTGTGGGCCCAGCCACTGGCTCTCAACTTCAAACCCTGGCCCCCTCTGGCCACGCTTTGCGGAGCTCTGGGAAGGCCTGGCAGCTGGACTCAGGTCACGACCTCCTTACCCGATGCCTGACCGGCAACCCATGCCCACTCTGGCCCTGGACGCGGGTCCTGGCAGAAAGGAATGGGAGTTGCCGGCCCCACCCCTCCGTGCTGGCTCCTTCCTTTTCCCGGGCCATGGCTGAGCCGCCTCACGGTCAGTGTACAATTTATTTTATCACCTCAAACTGAAAACTCTCCCCAGCTACCGACGGTCTGATTGGTTTCCTTTGACCACACCCTAAGAAATCTAAACAGTCATCCAGTTTCTCCTTTTTGCCCTGCCAGCTAGGAAACTCGAAACCCCACCAAATGTTCAGAGCCAGTCCGTCTCACGCCAGCCTCTGAGTGCAGGGAGTTTGCAAGCAGGCTTTGCCCGGGAGCTGTTTCCACCTCTCATCTGTCTTTCCCGTGCGTGCGTGCGTGCGTGCGTGCGTGTGCGTGTGCGTGTGCACCACCACAGGCAGCTTCGAATCCCTCCTGGCCAACAATAAGCAAAGCGAATCATCAGGGAACAGTGGTCAGGTGCGGCGGCCCTGATCGCCCAGCATTTTCCAGGCCCGCCGGCCGGGGCCACGCCACCCACGGCCACGGCGGACCAGAGCCACCACTCACCAGGCGGACGAACTCTGGGAGGACTTCAGCGGCGGGCTGTGGGCGTCTCCCCGCGGCGGGTGCACGGCCTGGGGCGCGGGCGCTTGCTGCAGGGGCCCCGGGGGAGGCTGGGGCTGTGGGGCCGGCTGCTCCGGCCGGGGCACCCGGGCAGGGTTCCCCCACCGCCGAGGGTCCTGCTTCATCCAGCGTCCCTGGATGCCCCAGCGCGCCAGGTACACCTTGCAAACGTCGTAGTTCATGGCGGAGTAATACAGGAGGTCCAGGACCAGCAGCACGAGCACGAAGAAGCCGTAGATCCACACTCCCAGCAGGGCGGTGTAGTTGCTGGGGACAGAGGACAGCGGGTGAGCCGGCCGCCACCGCCCACACCGCCTGGCGTGCAGGGTCCGCTCCCTGCCACCCGCCCCTGGCCACCCTCCCTGTGCCCTTGGACCGGGCCCTTGCATCGTTGCTGCCTTGGCAGGGGATCCAAACTCTCCAATCCGGGTATCGGGGCGCCCTCCACCTCGGGGTGCCCGCCCCCTGGCATCTGCCTTCGCTGCCCTGCCTGCCTCTGTGATGCC